GGTACAAGATTTCTATTTCATCTCAACTTTGTACCCACTATAAAATCCCTCATTCCTCAACCCTAAGGACAGAGACGGGGACTGAGAGAATTCAGAGATTCTTGGAGACAAGAAGGAGAGAAATCAAGAGCCACAAGTTGTCTTGGAAAGCAAGAAGAAGACTAGGGAGATTTGGGAAAATCGTCTGGTTAATTCTTGTACTCTTTTGATGATTTTTAATTCTTTATTTATATTTGCTATGTATAATTTAGTCATGCTTGGCTAAATTCTTTAGAGATTCTTGGGTAAAAGTGTTTATGAACCTATGTGCCTGAGCTCTCAGTTTCTTTAATATATTATTATTTGGGTTTAATACTTGTGTTGCAATCGTGATAATATTGTTTGATGCTTGTAATTAATGGCCATAGTTACTAGCTTCATAGCCATGTTTGTGTCAACAATGGGAGTTGGGGCATAAATTAGGGCACACACGATTGCACCTAATGGTTGGTCCTTGGGAAAGGGGAACTTATTAGGGGAAGTTTATTCTAGATTGTTGCCAATCGGGAGATGGTAGTAATTAGGAATAATTGAATGCTGATCTTTTGATCTTATTGGGTATTTAAGCCATGGGAGTGGAAATTCACTAGGAATAGAGATTACGGGAGTAATTCGATTCCACTTTGCATTCCCACACAAATCTTAATTCCAAACTAAATATTGCAAACGATAATTGGCACTAGGTGATTAAATACTTGAATCCCATGAATCTCATCTTCTCTCTAATTGTTTTCAAAATCCTGAACCTCTGTTTTATTTTATTTATTTTATGCCAATCAATCATCTAAGTAATTGTTAGGATTAGCTCTAATGAATAAGTTAGTAACTAGTGCTTGATACAACCACTTCCCTGTGGATCGATAACTCGTACTCCGAGAATTATTTGTTTGCAAATATACTACGCATCAAATTGGCGCCGTTGCCGGGGAGGTGGTGCTTCTAGTATTAACATTAGTGAAATCTTTATTCTAGGAGACTAGTCCATTTTTATTTTATTTTATTTTATTTTATTTTGCTAACCCATAACAAGTTCATTGTTTTGAGTGTGATTTAGTTTATGGATAGATATGCATTCCAAGGAACCATGCCACCATTTTACCCTCCTTCTGAAGGTTATGAGATGAGTTGGAATATGAATCGAGAATATGGAGGAATGGAACAACAATTCCCTTTCTCAAATTTTGCCAACTCTAGTCAAGGATATTATCAAGAAAGTTCATATCAAACATCACAACCCCAATGGTGCTCATTTTGTGGTGGGAATCACTTTGTGGAAAATTGTTACATGCTCAACCCCACCAACCATATCCCTCAACAATCTACTCAAGGATTTTGTGCCAACATGAGTC